TAAGGAGTGGGAGCACTCTGGTGTTTGTGACGATGTATGTTTGACTGTAGTGGGCAGGTTGAAGGTGACGCTGGAAAGCAGTCTGTGTAATTTCACTGCTAATAATACCGTGTAGCTGTATTCTCTACTAAACTGCAGTCATTTGTCGGCTGCTAACATACATATTTGCAGTTTAATGGTTGTCGTGTTGTTTCTGATGAAATAGCTCATGTTTGTTTTACCTGTTTGACCAGCTGCCTATTGTTGCCTGATGCTAACAGGCTGCTATCAGTGCTCGATGGAGTTCATCTGCACAAATAAACATTTTTAAAAAGGAGAAAAAGAAACCAAATGTCACGGTCACATCCACACCAGTGCTCCCAGTAGAAACCTGTGCAATGGTTACAGCTGAAACTACCATCCCAGCTTTATTTATAAAGGACTTTAACATAACACCAGGGTTCACAAAGTGCTGTACATATACAGAGGCATAAACAACAAAAATTAAATACGTGGATAAATAAAATCAAACATGTTAAAACAAATTGAGTCAGCCCCTGAAAGTGCCGACGGCTTCAGCCAATAGAAAGAGAAGAGGCCTGCCTAACATGCACGGGCAGGTCGTTCCACACGTTGGAGCAGCTACCTCTAAATTTATACTTAGTTTAAACTGAGCTTTTGGCAGCTGAAGCAGCTGCTGACCGGACCTAAGGAGCATTAATGGGCATCAAGAGATTTAAAAACAAATAAAAGAACTTTACGATCCTAAATTGTGCAGACGGCCAGTGGAGTGAAATTAAAATGTGCTCAGACGTTTTGTTCCTGTTAAAAGACGTGCTGCAGACGTATCACTGTATCACTAACCCCACGATAAAGTGCGCTGCAGTAACAAAGGCTCAGAAAGCTGCTTGGATAAGATGGGCGAGATCTCGTTCAAGTTTAAGATCTGTCTCCATTTAAATCCCATTAGTGATGACTGGTTTAACAAACTGTGCCAGCGAACCAAGATCTATGGTGGTCGGGGTCAGAGGTCACACTGGTGATCACCTCACGAACTTCACCCAGTTTTTTGCTCTCACCATAAAAAAATGAAGGAATAAAGTTGTGCATAAAAATTGTTATTAATGATTCATACAGAAGCTGTTACCATGGAGATTTACCTGTTGGTAATGCTGCAGAGCAGCCAGCAGGTGGAGCTCTCAGGAGGTCAGAGGTCAAAGACATTCCTCACGCAGTGAGCTGCTCAGGTTACCTCTGTCCTCCTTCACACACACCTGAGGCTCAACCTGTTTATACCCACGAAGAAGAGTCTCTCACACACACGCACACACACACGCACACACACACAGGTGAGCCACACCTGTGCCGGTCTGACTGGTGAGACTTCACTGTAAAACTGTCAGAGTTGGATCAGCTGACTTAAAGGAGCCTCACCTGTTCTCACCTGTGTGACACGTGCTCAGGCTGACCGAGCCTGTAGATGCTGATCACATCAGGAGGCCACGCGTCTGTTCATACACACCAGGTGTTCATGTGACGTGTCGCACTGAGAGCGCCGCCCTAAACACGCACACACACAGGGTGGATTTAACACGCTGTGTTTATGAGTGCAGGTGGAGCCGCAGCTCGATGACATCACG